TTATATTTAAATATTATCGACACCTTTCGCTATTAAACAACTATTTCTAACCAAAAAAATTATTTAAAATACTAAAATTGTCCTTACATAAACTCTGAATAATTTTTCTACATAAAATTCGTTTAAACTACTAACCAATTAAAATTTATTTTTCTACCTATTAAAACTCATTTCTCTATATATTAAAAATTGAGCCAATTAAAATTCAATTCGAATTAATTATATTTTTTTACGGTATTAAAATTCGAGTTAATTGGAGCTCTACCTGAACTGATAGTGCAGATTAAAATTCGATTCGAGTCGATTAAAACTTATATATTTTTTTTACTTATTAAAATTTGATTAAAATTTATTATTTATTTTTTAAGTATTAAAATTTGAATTGATTAAAATTTATATTTTTTATGTATCAAAATTTGGGCCGATTAAAATTCTTTTCGAGTTGATTAAAATTTGATTTGAGCCAATTGAATTTTAATCGGCTCAAATTTTAATACATAAAAAATATAATTTTTAATCGAATCAAATTTTAATACATAAAAAATAAATTTTAATTAGTTCGAATTGAATTTTAATCGGCCCAAATTCTATTACGTAAAAAAATTTAAAAAGTATAGGGGGTCTCATTGAAAATATGTTTATCTAGAAGAAGTGTGGATGAATTTTTTCTTAAAATATATCACGGATAATTTAATAAAATTACATTATAATTAATATCTTTAATCTGATTAGGGATGTACCAATTAATAAAAATTAGTTTTTTATTTTTGATGCAGTTTATTTATAAAAATCATTAGTCGTACTTGACTTGGTCAAGTTGTACGAGAAGACTCCGACTCAATTACAATTAATCTAAATTATTATCATTAAGTCGGTTGATGTCATTCCATCACATTGTAATTTGACTCAGATCTCACATCAGATTCAATTTCTTCGATGAATGGCCAATGAAACAATCTCAAACCAAATGTTAAAAAGCCATCACCAATATTTAATTATACATCAATAATAAATTGCAAAAGAGTTGTCTATGGTACAAAAAAAAAGGGTACCGGGTCAAAATTTATGGGTATTTTTTTTATTATTATAATATTTAAAAAAATAATAAAAATAATTATCATATCAATATTAAAAACACCCATAAATATGATAAATCACCCACAAATGTGATGAAGTTTTTTCTATATCAAACAAAGGTGATAAAAATAGTTAGAACCGTTGTAAAAACAAGCACAAAAGTGATAAATTTTATAAAAAAATTTTAATTATAAAATGACTCATATAAATTATAAAATTATTTATTAAAATAATAAATTATAGAAGTAGGATATCAATAACTTTTTTGGGTAGAGTAACCAAGCCAATTACAAAAAAGAAAGAAAAAGTCATGGGCATATGGTGTTGACTCTCTAAATTGTAGTAAAAAAGTTTTTTCAGACATCACAATCTGATCAGGTCGAAGATTATGAGTATGTTCTTCGGTCATTATTGCGCAATATAACGAAAACTCGAAAATAAAACTAAAAATGTGACAACTCCATCAAATCCATCGATCGATAATTTTTTAATACCATATCAAAATTTAGTAGTCTACTTCTTAAAGTTACGAAAAACGAAACTTGTAGTCTAGAAAAGATCCATGGTTCTCCCATTTTTTAATAATCAGAGGTGTTCAGATTAACTTACCCATGTTTTAATTTATTTTCTGATAAATTTAATTAAAAATAAATTATTCACGCCGAGACTAAGGTCTGCTCTCGCATTCATAATAGCGAGTTATACTCTCATATTTCAATGACATTTTTTCTCTCCATATTTTCTTAATTTAGGTTCATCTTATATGCAATATTTATTTTTTGAATGAGATCCAAAAGTCTATGTTATGATTTTTGACACGATATTTTAACACAGAGACAAATTTAACACTAGGTTAGCATTTAATGTTGATTAATTTTTAACAAAAATATAACTATTACATGATTCGTACGAGACAAGAGTAAGACTAAAATAAATCTATAGGCTTCTTGCTAAATAATATTATCTTAAAAATATTAAATTATAATTTTTGAACAATAAGTTATAATTTTAAAAATTATAATTAATTATCTATAAGATAAAATATGACAGATTTTAATAAGTTTATTCAACGATTTCAAATAAACTTATTCAACGGTCACCAACATCTCTCTCAAAATTATTTATATTATACCGTATTTTTAGACACGAATTACACCTAATAAATTATTATGATCAAGCATGAAAAGTAAAACTTTTAAAGATCAACTTATACCTCTTGCAAATGAAGTTATACCTTTTAAAGGTTATTGATGATGATCATAATATTCTTTGATCAATTACGAATAACCTTAATTAATTATTAGGAATGACAAATAATCTTAGACTAATTATAAATTGATCCTTAAAAATTATATCTTGATCCTTACCGATTATAAGTAAAATTGTATTTTATACCCTAAAAAATTTAAGAATTTTTATTTTATAGACCCAACGATTAAATTTATCACATATATTAAAAGTGTTATAATATGATCATTTCATTAATTTTTGTGACTTATTTTGTAAAAAAAATCATCTCATTGATGTTGATGGAATAAGTAACGAAAGCCATAAAAGAGCTATATTAAAATATATTGAATATATTAAGTGTGCNGTAGTAAAAAAGTTTTTTCAGACATCACAATCTGATCAGGTCGAAGATTATGAGTATGTTCTTCGGTCATTATTGCGCAATATAACGAAAACTCGAAAATAAAACTAAAAATGTGACAACTCCATCAAATCCATCGATCGATAATTTTTTAATACCATATCAAAATTTAGTAGTCTACTTCTTAAAGTTACGAAAAACGAAACTTGTAGTCTAGAAAAGATCCATGGTTCTCCCATTTTTTAATAATCAGAGGTGTTCAGATTAACTTACCCATGTTTTAATTTATTTTCTGATAAATTTAATTAAAAATAAATTATTCACGCCGAGACTAAGGTCTGCTCTCGCATTCATAATAGCGAGTTATACTCTCATATTTCAATGACATTTTCTCTCTCCATATTTTCTTAATTTAGGTTCATCTTATATGCAATATTTATTTTTTGAATGAGATCCAAAAGTCTATGTTATGATTTTTGACACGATATTTTAACACAGAGACAAATTTAACACTAGGTTAGCATTTAATGTTGATTAATTTTTAACAAAAATATAACTATTACATGATTCGTACGAGACAAGAGTAAGACTAAAATAAATCTATAGGTTTCTTGCTAAATAATATTATCTTAAAAATATTAAATTATAATTTTTGAACAATAAGTTATAATTTAAAAAATTATAATTAATTATCTATAAGATAAAATATGACAGATTTCAATAAGTTTATTCAACGATTCCAAATAAACTTATTCAACGGTCACCAACATCTCTCTCAAAATTATTTATATTATACCGTATTTTTAGACACGAATTACACCTAATAAAATATTATGATCAAGCATGAAAAGTAAAATTTTTAAAGATCAACTTATACCTCTTAAAAATGAAGTTATACCTTTTAAAGGTTATTGATGATGATCATAATATTCTTTGATCAATTACGAATAACCTTAATTAATTATTAGGAATGACAAATAATCTTAGACTAATTATAAATTGATCCTTAAAAATTATATCTTGATCCTTACCGATTATAAGTAAAATTGTATTTTATACCCTAAAAAATTTAAGAATTTTTATTTTATACACCCAACGATTAAATTTATCACATATATTAAAAATGTTATAATATGATCATTTCATTAATTTTTGTGACTTATTTTGTAAAAAAAATCATCTCATTGATGTTGATGGAATAAGTAACGAAAGCCATAAAAGAGCTATATTAAAATATATTTAATATATTGAGTGTGCAATATGGGAAATTTAATCAATGAGAGTATAACTGATAATTCTTAAATCTTCGAAGGTATAAAATATAATTCGTTGATATTATAATTCTTAAAATCTTCGAAGTTTTTGTTGCTACCCTTGACTTTGCACTATCTACAAATACTTGTTCCGGTGGATCTCAGTTTAGATGTAAGTATTGCTGGAAGAAAAGACAGAGAATTACAGCAAATCGAAAAAACAACCAAATTTACACCCAAAAAACCGAATTGTAAAATTGGCTTGGCCCCTCTTTCCTCTTCCTTTCTCTCTCTTCATCTTCTCTTCCAAAAGTCTCATTTGACCATCGCTACCACCCCTCTCCTTCTTTCCATCTTCCTTCTATCTGCTTCAACCTTTCCTCTTACCATCCTCGTCATCGCATTTCTCTCTCTTTATATCTTCAGGTCTGTCTGCACGATCACTAATTTCCTAGAATTGACTGATGGTTTTGATGTGCCATAACCCTTGAAAAAGTGTCTTTTGAGCNCATCAGCGCATTTCTCTCTCTTTATATCTTCAGGTCTGTCTGCACGATCACTAACTTCCTAGAATTGACTGATGGTTTTGATGTGCCATAACCCTTGAAAAAGTGTCTTTTGAGCAAATCAAGAAAATGGGTAGCTGTCTTTCAACCACCAAAATCAGNCGTCATCGCATTTCTCTCTCTTTATATCTTCAGGTCTGTCTGCACGATCACTAATTTCCTAGAATTGACTGATGGTTTTGATGTGCCATAACCCTTGAAAAAGTGTCTTTTNGATTGACAAGACTTGAGAGAAAGAACTTGTGGGTGGATTACAGGTACTAATAATTTG